GTCTCAGACCATTAAGTCTGGTCTTCTTACTAGAATTTGAGTTCCGTACCCCACCTTTCTCCTGCTCCATCAGGGACTCTCTGTTGTGTTCCCTGTCAGCGCGGTCATTGGTGGTAGCCGGGCACTATCTAGTGCTTTTGGTCTCAGGCTGATGAAGTCTCTGGTTTATGTGGCCCTTTCTGTCTCTTGGGCTAGTACTTTCCTTGTGTCTTTGGTGTTCTTCATTCTTCTTTACTCCAGGTGGTTGGGACCAATTGATGCATCTTAGATGGCCACTTGCAAGCTTTTATGTCTTCCAAATTTCTTGGCATAGACAAATGAGCACTTCCAGCTCTGCATCTGTTTGTTGAAACATCTCAATTGGTATTCCATCAATTCCTGGAGCCTTGTTTTTCACCAGTGCCTTCAGTGCAGCTTGGACTTCTTCCTTCAGTACTGTAAGTTCCTGATCATATGCTACCTCCTGTAATGGTTGAACGTTGACCAAATCTTTTTGGTACAGTGATTCCGTGTATTCCTTCCATCTTCTTTTGATGCTTCCTGCATTGTTTTATATTTTCCCCTTAGAATCCTTCAATATTGCAACTCGAGGCTTGAATTTTTTTCTTCAGTTCTTTCAGCTTGAGAAATGCAGAGCATGTTCTTCTCTTTTGGTTTTCAAACTCCAGGTCTTTGCACATGTCATTATAATACTTTTCTTTGCCTTCTTGAGCCACCCTTTGAAATCTTCTGTTCAGCTCTTTTACTTCGTCATTTCTTCCTTTTGCTTTAGCTACTCTACATTCAAGAGCAACTTTCAGAGTCTCTTCTGACATCTTTTGGTCTTTTCTTTGTTCCCTGTCTTTTTAATGATCTCTCACTTTCTTCATGTATGATATTCTTGATGTCATTCCACAGTTCGTCTGGTCTTTGGTCATTAGTGTTCAATGCGTCAAACCTATTCTTGAGGTGGTCTCTAAATTCAGCTGGGATATACTAAAGGTCGTACTTGGGCTCTTGTGGACTTATTCTAATTTTCCTCAGCTTCAACTTGAACTTGCATATGAGCAGTGGATGGTCTGTTCCGCAGTCGGCCCCTGGCCTTGTTCTGACTGAAGATATTGAACTTTTCCATCATCTCTTTTCACAGACGTACTTGATTTGATCCCTGTGTATTCCATCCAGTGAGGTCCATGTGTATAGTCACCATTTATGCTGGTGAAAAAAGGTATTTGCAATGAAGAAGTCGTTGATCTTGCAAAATTCGGTAATGCCATTTCCAGCATCA